GGCCGCTTCATCGGACTGAAAGAAACAGGATGGTCATTTTGCAAATTGCTTACATCTGAAACCGTTCTCACTCGACTGGAAATAGGTGTTCGGAGCAAAGGATACGTGATGTACACGATGGGTATATCACGTATCACGTATCCATCACGATGGGTAGGCTCTGGACACTGCAGACTGCAAAAGAAATGATTGTTTGATCATGAGGCAAACACGAACAATTGTAGCGGCAGTTTTGTTCTCAATCCAAAGATAGGTNTTCTTACAGAAACGCAGCTTCCCTATCATCAAATGTCACGGCATGCCTCTGTACCCCAGTATTCTGTAAAAAGCCCCGCATGGGTTCACTGTTGTCAGAATTTTAAGTGTTCCTGTTGTTTGGTCTTCGAACGCCAACGACGCAGTCAAAGATGTTACGCATAGTTTAAACAATGGTCACTTCATCGGACTGAAAGAAACAGGAAGGTCATTTTGCAAATTGCTTACATCTGAACCGTTCTCACTCGACTGGAAATAGGTGTTCGGAGCAAAGGATACGTGATGTACACGATGGGTATATTACATATTACGTATCCATCACGATAGGTAGGCTCTGGACACTGTAGACTGCAAAAGAAATGATCGTTTGATCATGAGGCAAACACGAACAATTGTAGCGGCAGTTTTGTTCTCAATCCAAAGATAGGTGGAAGCATGGTTACAGAGCCTCATTTCTTTTCGCATTATTGACAGGAGACTAGGAAGGAAAATTTGAATGGCGAACGCTATGCATCTTGTTATTCACACTTCAACATAATCGGCTTCGTTTGCAGTAGTGCCATGATAGAAGCACTGACTTCTTTAGGTGGCAGCGTATCGTCTTTAGCGACGAATTTCGGCTCTGTTTAGGAACTGACAACCATTGTTAGAATGTGGATGGCCATAGGTGAACGCTTCGATTCCACGTTTACTATTGAGAGGCACATTGCCCCATTGCTTGCGTGCTGCTCTGAAGGGAGCCATCCCGTATGCAATTCGATCGAATGGCATATAGGAATGGTAGGAAGGATACTTGACAGCACAGCGGTACGTTCGGGAAATCTTACGCCCTAGTATATTCTTTTGTAACGACAGTTCTGTGTTCCGTGTTCGGCAAGATAATGTTCGGCCGCACTCAAATAGGATTTCTCAGTCCTATTTGAGTGCGGAGGGACTGAGAAATCCTATTTGAGGCCGCACTCAAATAGGATTTCTCAGTCCCTACCTTATAGCCGCATGTATTCAGGCAAGAGCAAATCCTGCAAAGTACTAACGACTTTATTAAATTGTATCATTGTTCAACTGAAAGTTGTCTTTTTGCTATGATATTGCGATCACTTATTACCGTGGTCATTATGTTTGTCCATCACGATAGGTAGGCTCTGGACACTGTAGACTGCAAAAGAAATGATCGTTTGATCATGAGGCAAACACGAACAATTGTAGCGGCAGTTTTGTTCTCAATCCAAAGATAGGTGGAAGCATGGTTACAGAGCCTCATTTCTTTTCGCATTATTGACAGGAGACTAGGAAGGAAAATTTGAATGGCGAACGCTATGCATCTTGTTATTCACACTTCAACATAATCGGCTTCGTTTGCAGTAGTGCCATGATAGAAGCACTGACTTCTTTAGGTGGCAGCGTATCGTCTTTAGCGACGAATTTCGGCTCTGTTTAGGAACTGACAACCATTGTTAGAATGTGGATGGCCATAGGTGAACGCTTCGATTCCACGTTTACTATTGAGAGGCACATTGCCCCATTGCTTGCGTGCTGCTCTGAAGGGAGCCATCCCGTATGCAATTCGATCGAATGGCATATAGGAATGGTAGGAAGGATACTTGACAGCACAGCGGTACGTTCGGGAAATCTTACGCCCTAGTATATTCTTTTGTAACGACAGTTCTGTGTTCCGTGTTCGGCAAGATAATGTTCGGCCGCACTCAAATAGGATTTCTCAGTCCTATTTGAGTGCGGAGGGACTGAGAAATCCTATTTGAGGCCGCACTCAAATAGGATTTCTCAGTCCCTACCTTATAGCCGCATGTATTCAGGCAAGAGCAAATCCTGCAAAGTACTAACGACTTTATTAAATTGTATCATTGTTCAACTGAAAGTTGTCTTTTTGCTATGATATTGCAATCACTTATTACCGTAGTCATTATGTTTGCACTAATAAAGTTTCACTGAATTCCAATGTCTCCTTGGTGCATAAATTTTTTTGTCAATGAGTGTATTTGAAATATTAAATAATTATTAAATAATTTAAATTTAAATAATTGATAAAACTTCATTCATAAATGAAGTTTTATCAATTATTGTAAAGCACTGCGAATTGGACGAATGAGATCTTCAAATGTCATATTACAGATCTGTTATTTGTATGGAAGTACCGGCCGAAGGTTTTTTCCTCCGATGATATGGGATCAGATGAAAATACATATTCACGAGTTTCTTTCGATATCCTGAATAAATTATGAAAAAAAAATTGAACCATTCGCTCGTTTATTAAGTTACGTTTTTTTTTTACTCTTTTCGCCCTGTGGGCACTAAGCCCATTATGGGTTCGGTCAGGCTCACAATGGGGTGACCGGGTGGTGAGGGGCGGGGCTCGACATATCCGAGCGGACCGCCCCCGAAAAATTCCTGGG